ACAGAATAGAGAACACATATATACACACTATAAACAAAAACAACATAGACAGATTGAGACAATAGTGCAATGAGCAGAGTGCAAAGGATGCAGGAGTAAATTATTATTACCATTATTATTATGTACATGAAGGTGTTCATCAGAGAGACGGCTTGTGGGAAGAAACTGTTCCTGAATCTGTTGGTTTTGGCGTACAGTGCTCTGTAGCGCCTACCAGAGGGGAGAAGCTGGAACAGGTTGTGTCCGGGGTGAGATAGATCTGCAGTGATGTTTCCTGCCCGTTTCCTGACTCTGGAAATGTCTATGTTCAGACTGCAGGCCGATGTGACCCCAATCCGATTTTTTTTTGCTAATCTGTGACTCAAATCTGATCTTTTTATGACAGTGTGAACAGGCCAAGTCACATTGAATCTGATCTTTTCCAGTTCGGAATGTGGTCCAAATCCAATACAGATCTGATCTTTTTAAATGCGACCTCAGTCTGGACACTCAGGTCAGAATTGACGTCACTGTAGAGCAGCTGTTCTGCTGTAGACAGGGCTGCACTGAACGAAAAAGCTCCACAAAAAGCCTTTCTCAAGCCTGGCTCTCTTCCTTCTCTACCTCGCTATCATCTGCTCACAAATTCCCTTTCTTATACCTGAAATCCACCGGACCGGAGCTGTCTTCTGAGTTACGTGCATGCTATTTGTCCGAGCTGACACAGAGTGGGGAGAGAGAGAGAATGAGGGAATGAGTTGTGGGGCAGATGCGTTGTCCATGTAATGAAAAGAACAGAAAGTTGTAATTCGGGAGAAATGTGACCCGTGAGAGGACAATGAAAAATGGGACTCTCCCACGAGCTAACCGGAGCTATGTTGCTCCTTGTTTACTTCTGTAGCCTGCAACAGCATGCTGCGTGTGACGTCATGTTATTCTTCTGTGCATGCGGGTCACTTTCAGGCCGCTGACAGTTCACACTCTGATATGGGCCACATTTAAACTATAATGTGAACTGTCAAACAAAAAATCGGATCTGGGGAAAAAAATCGGAATTGAACATTAAGGCCTGCAGTCTGAACGTAGCCTTTGTCCTGAATGGAGGGCAGGTTGGCACCAATGATCTTTTCTGCAGTCCTGACTGTCCATTGTAGTCTGCTCCTGTCCTTTTTGGTGGCAGATCCAAACCAGACAGTGATGGACGTGCAGAGGACAGACTGGATGATGGCTGTGTAGAACTGAATCAGCAGCTCCTTAGGCAGGTTGAGCTTCCTGAGCTGGCGCAGGAAGTACATCCTCTGCTGGGCCTTCTTGATGATGGTGTCAGTGTTGGGCTCCCACTTCAGGTCCTGAGATATAGTGAAAACCAGAAACCTGAAGGGTTCCACAGCAGACACAGAACTGTTGAGTATGGTGATGGGGGGCAGAGTGGGGGGGCTCTTCCTGAAGTCCACGGGGGGACTGGGATGATTGTGGTGCAGGTGAGGAGTCAGAGAGGGGGGGTGAGAGCTTGGCAGTCGAGGAAGGTGATTGTTTGAAGTTGGTGTGACTGTGGGCTTCTCAAACCTACAGTAAAATCAATTCAGCTCGTCTGCCAGTCGTTGAGTACCAGCAAAGTTGGAGGATGGTCTCCTGTAGTTAGTGAGTGTCTCCAGGCTCTCCACACTGACGCAGGGTCGCTGGAAGCTGTTTCCTAGATTTTCAGCGTAGCGTGAACATGTTATCGCGTTAATGCTTTAATTAATTAACGCTGACAATTACTTTATCACACGTTAACACAGTTTTAATTATTATTATTTTAAAAATACACATCCAGTCAAACCATGGGTCACAGGAAGGAGGGGGGGTGTTGATCTGCCTGCAAATCAGCCATCCGAACAAGCCGTGGCAGGAGGCTTTGGCAGGATGCAGCGTGTGGGAGAAGTAAGACAGCGCTCCGCCAATAAAAAGCAGGCGCTCTATTGAGAGTAACCATGGCAACAGCTTTTGTGCTCTACACAGCTGGAGCCTATTTAACTTAAGTTAAAATTATAGGCTACATAACTTTACCTTCATCTAGTTTTGCAGGGATGCTCTGCCATGCGAATTCCCTCCTGCTAATGTCCTATTTAGTAAACAGTAATAGATTCTGGAAACTCACGAACAGCGAGGATCAGTCTCTCTTCCAATTATTTGTGCTGCGCATCACGTACAAAAAGTAAAAGGTAACGCCCTGGCAGTGGCAAATAGCTTTGGTTTAATATTTGATTTGATTACATTGATGTTTAGGTTGAGATTTGTAAGAAATATTTTATTGCTACTTTGTAAAGGGAATACTGCTGGTAAAAAGCACCTTATAATTCATTATTCAATTTTGCGCATAATAATGCAATTAATAGCAAGAAAATCATGCGATTTGTTGCAATTAAAAATTTTAATTCATTACCCAGCAGAATAGTGAAATAGCAAAAAGTGCCCTTTTTACAGTTTCTGGGTATGGGTATTTGGTACAGAAAGCATAAAGAAGTCCTGAGAAAGCAAAGAGTGTTGTAGTTAGTATGGCAGCAGACCAAGAATTACCTTGTATATGAAGGTGTACCAGTGACAGAGCCTAAGGGTCCACTCTCTGGACATCCTACCAGAGAGTTTTTTTTGTTTGAGTTTGAGTTTGTCACCGGGCTGGACAGGGGACAGACATGGGGCTGGGGACACAAACACCACACAGACACAAACAGAGAAAGGACGGCACCTGCAAGAGAACGGGGGTGGGGGATGGGGACAACAGGAACCCGAGAGTATAAGTCACAGTGGTGAGTCAGAGCTGGTAGTGAACCTCAAAGAAGCATGGTAAGCTATGGCAACCATATGAAGACTCTGAGCAGAGTTATATTTTTACATGATAACTCAGTTTTAGCTTCAGTTTTTTCACTAGGGACAGCACATGTGTGATCACATTTCTCCTGTTTTAGCTCTTTGCATTGGCTTCCAGTAAAATCCAGAATAGAATTTAAAATCATTCTTCTTACCTACAAAGCTCTTAATGGTCAGGCACCATCTTATCTTAAAGAGCTCATAGTACCTTACTACCCCACCAGAGCACTGCGCTCCCAGAATGCAGGGTTACTTGTGGTTCCTAGAGTCTCCAAAAGTAGACTAGGAGCCAGAGCGTTCAGCTATCAAGCTCCTCTCCTGTGGAACCAGGTTCCAGTTTGGGTTCAGGAGGCAGACACCATCTCCACATTTAAGAGTAGGCTTAAGACTTTCCTCTTTGATAAAGCTTATAGTTAGGGCTGGCTCAGGTGAGTCCTGAACCATCCCTTAGTTATGCTGCTATAGGCCTAGACTGCCGGGGGATTTCCTATGATGCACTGAGCTCCTCTCTCCTCTACTTTCTCTCCCTCTGTATGCAACCTTATCCCATTATTGCATGTTACTAACACAACTTCTCCCCTTTCTGGTAGTCTTGTGCTTTCTCGTCTCTCTCCTCTCTCCTATCACTTCCTGCAGGTTTTCTGGCTCTGGAGCTGTGGAGTCTGGATCTGTGGCTGCGGGTCACCTGCTGCCCCCGTGTTCCTGCTCGACACCCTCTACTGCAACGACTATTGTTGCTAGTCTTATTGTTATTATTGTTATTATAATCATTAACATTACGACTGTTACCATTGACACTACTATAAATATCTGTACCATTTTTCATTAAGTCTATAGCAACATCACCTTTACTGTCTGTACCTCTGTGTGTATATTGTGTAGGTCTCTCTCTCTCTCTCTCTCTCTCTCTCTCTCCTTCCTTCCTTCCTTCCTTCCTTCCTTCCTTCCTTCCTTCCTTCCTTCCTTCCTTCACCCCAACCGGTCGAGGCAGATGGCTGCCCACCCTGAGCCATGGTTCTGCTCGAGGTTTCTGCCTCTTAAAAGGAAGTTTTTCCTTGCCTCTGTCGCCTAGTGCTGCTCTTGGTGGGAACTGTTGGGCTTCTGTAAATAGTATCATAGAGTACGGTCTAGACCTGCTCTTTTATGAAAAGCGCTGTGAGATAACTGTTGTTGTGATTTGGTGCTATATAAATAAAATTGAATTGAATTAAATGTCAGGGAGGCATCAATCAAATGCCCAGGTTTTTGTAAGTGTTAACCTCATTTTCACTTCCCCTCAGAGTAACCACTGAAGGGATATTTTGTGGCCCATTCCTAGAGTTGGTAAACAACATAAGTTTAGTGAACTTCGGTACTTAAAGTACTTCCCCATGGATGCAAAATCGGACATTTTGTGTTGTTTGAAAAAGGAGAAGTCTGAGCAGTAACAGAAGGAAGCGGGGAGGGAACGGGAAGTGCACATGAGCTGAACAGAGGTAACAACCACTGACCCCCTTTACTTTATACAGTGTTCTGCACAGTTATCACTCCAAACAGGAAGGAAGGATTTTGATTTAATTTTTCTTCTCATCGTCTGCAGGAATGTGGTTATTTTTCTTTCAGGTTAGCTTTAGCAGGTCAGCTGGTCTATCCTGCAGTCAGTGTCAGGTGAACCAATGCCATGAATGTATTCTGAATAGACTGTATTCAGCAGGTCAGCTGATCAGGATGTCTTAATGGCCAATTCATAGTTGTCACATTCCATGAAAAACGTTCCCTTGGAGGACAAAAAGACGTTATTTTCTGCTGCCTGCCAACCAGGAAGCAAGTGATACAATTTCAGTTTGTTACTTTTGCGCAGCCAAAATGTTGGATGGTTGTTGTTGTTTTCAGATGCACTAATCGAGGAGAAATCAAGCCTGGGCTATGTTAGGTGAGGGATTCCCCAGAAGGTAAATGTCAACATTACCGCAGTCGAGCGGCGGCAGGGACGGTTGAAATGCGGCTGTAATGTTAAATGGATCGGATGTGCCCAACACTTAGTTTGTGTCTTTCTTTTTCTTAAGTTGTAAGGTGATCCAAATAAAATTTAACTGCTTTTGTGGGGGAGTCGTGGTGTGAGTCGCTATCTTGGTCTGTTGACTCTTCATCCCTGTACCTAGAGTGACCTACATATCTCTGTGTGTCCACAGCCTGGTGTTTCCTGAGAGGACATTTTATCTCTGTGCAAAGACCGGTGTGGAGGCAGACGAGTGGATCAAGATCCTGAGGTGGAAACTGGTGAGGTGTTTTAGACAGTGCTTTACTCCATATCATAGAGTAGCAAATGAAAAAAACACTGAATTATTTGCTTATACTTTGTCCATGAATTGTTATTAAAACAATAGTTTCAGTGGACTCGCATAGATAAGTAGTCTGACCAACCTGCTGCCCTCCTGACTTCAATTCAACACTGATCGTCTTGTGACCTCTCATTTCTGCTATTGTCATGATTGTCACAACATACTACAGTACGTGTTCATACATTTATTTCATGAGTCATCAGCTTAATGCAGCCTACACCTAAATATGATGGAAGGACAATACAGCATAGCTTTATGTACTTCACTCAACACTAGCGCACACTATTGCTCTAAATGTGTGTGGCTTAAAATGTGTCCCACTAAAACCTTTTATAGAGATGCAGACCTGGGCCCGTATTTATCAAGCTTCTCAGAATTACTCATAAGAACACTGTTAAGAACTGACTTAAGAGTAAAGCTGAGCTTTAAGTAAGTAAGTAAAGTTTATTTGTATAGCACCTTTCACAGATAAAAATCACAAGGTGCTTCACAATAAAATGTAATACAACACAACAAAGTAAAATACAATGCATAAGAAAATTTAAATACAAATGGAAAACATAGAATAGAAACCATAAAAAAAAACCCACGTCTAACTAAAAACCTGCTTGAATAGCAGCGTCTTCAGTTGCTTTTTAAAAGAATCAACACAATTCACACAGCGTAGAAAGGTAGGCAAAGCATTCCACAGCCTAGGTGCCGCTGCTTGGAATGAACGATCCCCTCTGGTTTTAAAATGAGTGTAGGGAACCACTAACAACCTGATGACCTCAAACTACAGGTCGGAGTATGAAGCTGTATCAAGTCAGAGATGTAGGGAGGAACTTGACCGTGCAGGGCTCTAAAAGTAAGGACCAGGATTTTAAACTGAATTCTATACTGGACTGGTAACCAGTGAAGTGCTGCTAAAACAGGTGTATATAAAAGTTAGTTATCAAGCATCTCAGTCCTAATTTGAGTGAAGTGCAGGACTAAATCTTAAGTGTCAGTCTTAGTGCTGATTCACAACACTTTTCTGTGCCGCAAACAGGATTTTGGATGAAGATGTCACCAAGGACCAATCACTGAATAGATTTCCTTCTTTAAGAATATTCTCATATCTAAATTCACATTGAATGGTGAAATTCCTCAGAGGAATTTAACTGAAAACGCATTACTGCGTAAAGTCAGTGGTGAGATGACGTCCTTCACCAACTCACTGACAAAGATTATGCCTGCGCTGTCCAACCCCGTCTTATTAACTGCGCATCGTCAGAATTCTTCCTCTTCCTCTCCTCTCTGTCTGTCTTAAATAACTGGGAGAGTGAGAGTGGTTCTTAGCTTTGAAAAATTTGATTACTTTACTTAGTTTAAAAGTACCAGCCCAGGTATGTCGTGAAGCAACATAAGATACCAACTACCCAGCACCAACGCTTCCCATTGCCATCCCAGTTTGGAGGTTTCAGTCTGCTACATACTACAGTATGTTTTCATTTTTTGCAGAGATAGGACCTGTGACTCATATAAGTTTTAAGCATTAAAAGACAGACATCAATCAATAATGTAACATGAGGCTAGAAGAATGTAAACAAACAACTACAAACTAATATGAGAGGTTTGGAACACTCAGTGGGGCATTTATTCAACTAAGAATCGTTGAAGATGACTTGACTTGGCTTAACAAACGTAACAGTATTTAAAGGATCAGTTGTGTTTGTTTCCAGTCACAGATAAGAAAAGGTCAATGTCAGTGAAGACGCTGGAGATGGAAAGCCGCCCCACCTTCAGAGAAGACTTCACATCAGCTGGATGAACAATGAGGAATAGCACTATTATAAACCTGAGATTAAGCACGAGTGTGAACAACACTGGGACCCTGGAGGCAAACAGCTTGGATGTGACTCACTTTGCTTCATGACATATTTCTTGAGTTCAAACATGCTTCTTTTCCCGTTTTTTCCTGTTAGGAGTCATACTTTGCTGTTTTTCCCCAGATGATGTTTGTTTCTGGTATGTTTAACACCAACATCTACTTGAACAATTATTTAAAGGATATTGCTAGCATTATTCTATAACACCAAAACCCACATGTGTTTGTCCATCAATACTTTCTGACTTCTTGCCTGGTCTGTGGCTCTCAGCTCCAGCTCTTAGAGTCATCAGAAAACTCTACTGAGCATTGCGGCTTGTGGAATGTGGGACTAGCACTTGGGGTGGGGGGGCAAGGCCAAGGCCGAAATACATGGAAATATAAGGCTCTGTGGGTCCCCAGTATCCAAGGTCATAGGTTCTAATAATCTGTGGCTTTAGCTCAGCCAAAGCTAAGGTATTTTTAAGGGGGTATGGTCCTTTACTCCTTTAAGAGTACTTTGTACAGAAAGAAAGCTCAAAACTCTTCTTCAGATATATAAAATACAATTCAACATTTAAGTAAGAGTTCCAGTTTTTCCGGTATTCTTTACATTTTTGTGAGTGAGAAAGTAAATGTTTCCTTAATATAGATTTCTTGAACTATTTCTATCCATTCAGGGACTGATTGAGGCTGCTTATTCAGCCATTTCTTGGTTATTGCCTTTTAACTACATACGAATAGTATTTGCAGTAAGTACCTGTCCTGCTTTTTCAGCCCACTTGGCAAGTTTTCTTAATACAAAACACTAAAATTAAATCAAGCCTATGGCTAATGACTGATCTGGGCCGGTATTTATCAAGCTTCTCAAAGTGCCGTTTTAGTATTAAGTGCTGAGAATTCATGAAATTTACTCGTACTTTTAAACTCAAGAATAAAAGAGAGGTCTCTCAAGTAGTTAGGTGCTGCCAGTAGGGGTTTGTGATGGCGCTGTGGAGACAGTTAATAAGACGGGGTTGGACAGCGCAGGCATAATCTTTGTCAGTGAGTTGGTGAGGGACGTCATCTCACCACTGACTTTACGCAGTAATGCGTTTTCAGTTAAACTGAAGGTGGTGATGACGCAGCAGTGCTGATGATTTTGGCCGTCACAACCATCAATAAGCCGAATGATCATGGAAACAATTTATGGCACTTAGGCTACAGCTCCGCACATTGTCACGCGTTTCATTGACAACAACAACCCCCGTAATCCGACAGAAGCAGACACAGTTCATGCAAATAGCCGGCAATACAGGAGTAGTAGGTGCAGTTGATGGCACTCATATAAAGATCAACTTTTTTATCTTTTGTAGGCCTATATCAGAATGTATTCTCTTGAAAAGAGAAAAAAGTTATTGTTAAACGTGTGTTAAACATATATATAAACTCCTCTTAGGAATTTCACCATTCAATGTGAATTTATCTCATTGTTATTCTTTTATTATTATTATTATTCTTAAAGAAGGAAATCTCTTAAGTGATTGGTCCTCGGTGACATCGTCATCCAAAATCCTGTTTGCGGCACAGCAAAGTGTTGTGAATCAGCACTAAGACTGACACTTAAGATTTAGTCCTACACTTCACTCAAATTAGGACTAGGATGCTTGATAACTAACTTTTATGCACAGCTTTGAGCCAAGAAGTTTTCCACTCCGAAGTCAGTTCTTTGCAGTGTTCTTAGAAGTATCTGGGAAGCTTGATAAATTCGAGACCTGGTCTCTGTTACCACATCTACCCAGTAAGAACAGATTCAAGAGAACACCCAAAAATGTGAAAATGATAAGCAGATGCATTACCACACATTCTCCAGCAGTGGTCATGTTCAGGTTTGCTGCTTTGTAAACATTTTATTTTAGAAGTAATGAAAAACCTTTAAAATGTTTTTCAAGGTGAATTCCCTCCACAAATCTGAGCTTGAGGTGCTAGTCTATGTCTTACATATGTTTAACCAGTCATCTTCACTTAATTTTATGTTTCCTTCTTTTTCCCCACATAGTTGAAAGATCCCTTTCCATTTGTAAACATGCATACATGCTGGAAATTAATTTTCTGTTAATATTACCTTTATTTGCCCCAATGAATATCTTTATCAGACTGTTCCTTTATCTCCAGTACTAATACTTTTGTCAAGGTAATGTCTCAATTAAAGATACAACCCAAAAATCATGTTTCTCTAAATTATAAGTCTCAGTGAGATGTTAAATGTATTTTACATGTTCAGTGTGAAATATTTCTGAGGATTTATTGTGTCTAAAGGCCTTACATAATGAACCGCAGGTCCTCTTAAGTGGACGCCACCATGTTTTTACAGTAGCCGAAAATGGACAAACCGCACTACAGAGCGTGTCACTATGTTGTTGTTTTTGTTCTTGTAGAATTCCGCCAATGTGACAAGAGGAAATAATAATAATATATAGTCTCTGAGTAGTCATCTGGTTTATTAGAAGTAGGAAGTGAAGTGAAATTTAGACAAATGGAGGACCACACGTGTTATTTAGATGAAGCTAGACAAAGTCGGGACAGATGCAGACAGAGGACTGCAGAAAGGACATGGTTGGACATGGTTTTGTCTCAAGGCTTCAGGTGCAGACGAAGCATCTCTCTCGCTGCTCAATAGAGCTGCTCAAGCAGCCCACAGAACGACGGATGGCCAGTCCCACTATGTTCTGAACCATTAGCAGCTCATTTACATGTGCAAGTGTAATAATATTTTTGCAACATTTTTGAGCTGCAGAGGCAGCTGAGAAATGCCAAGGATCGTGAAGTAATTTCAGAGGAACTACAGCTAAACCTATTCTGGTAGGTTTTCTTCTTTTTATATAAGAATATGCAGTGGGTTTTATTTCACACTGGCAGTAGATAACAAAAACTACCAAAAACATTTTCATTTACAAGGTACAAGGTAAATATGTTTGACATAAACAGGTTTGTAAAATGAGATGCAGTTTGTAGTTACAAAGCCAACGTGATATACAAAATCATAAAATCATATACAAAAATAAACAATTTTACATGTGGTGAGCATGAATTTAAGCTTCTCATGTCCTGGGGGAAGAAGCTGCTCTGCAGTCTGGGGGTGTGACAGCAGATATGTCTGTATCTCCTGCAGGGGGAAGCAGGCTGTGGCTGGGTGGGTACTGGCCTTTAGGGCTCTGCAGGCAGAGCTCTCTGTGAAAGTTAACAAGAACATGTTGCAGCCTGGGAATTTAGCCTTATTAAATTTCCTTAAGGGAAGGCTCAGTCCATGGGGACTGCTTGGGAAGCATAGGGTCACCAGTTCAAATCCAGCATCAACCAGTCATACTGCAGCCTGGTAGCTGTAGCTGGAGAAGTGCCAGTTCATCTCCTGGGCACTGCTGAATACACCTGTTACAGGCTCCAGGCACAGGGCATGTGGACAGATAAAAAAACCTTTGAGAAATGATAAACACAGGAAACTTTCTGCCGTGGGTCTTGACGGTCTTGCCAGATTTTATTTAATAAATACAGTCAGTTAAGTCAGTCAATAGTCTTTCACTCATTTTCAACTAAGTTATTAAATTGCATAAAGTTAACATGTATCTATCTTAAAACACGGATTCATACACAATTAAAGCTGCACACAGCGTTGGGCGGGCCCTCGCACGTGTAGGCGGCCGCATAATATTGGTGTGTAGATGTGTTCGGGGCGGGACAGTTATCAAGCACGTAAATTTTGGTTCAGATGTGAGCATGTACACTGAAGTTACAACAACTTCCTGTGTCATGGCGAAGAGTTGATGTTTGACGCCACGCCACAGACACACCCATCGACGAAAACTCACAGATAGCACAACATTTCATCATCAATGCCTTTAGAATGCACAGTAGAAAATTTAAGTCAATCTGATTAATTCCCTAGGAGGAGTTTGTTAAAGTACGGAACTTGTAAAAGGCCATAAATGGGCTGTAATTGCACATTCAAATCAAAATAGCTGACTTCCTGACTGATGTCGGGTATGGCTCCAAGAGACTTTTTTGTGTGTCTTGGGATGATACATGTACCACAAAAGTTTTGTGCATTTTGGTGATTCAGTGCGCAGTGGCTGCATCTTCGAAGGAACACATCCTGATTCCAGCAGGTGGGGCTATGAGGTTTAGTAAATTTTGACCTGTAGATGTGTTCAGGGCGTGACCCTTATCAAATGTATGAAATTTGGTAGAGATATGAGCATGTACAGCGAAGTTACAACTTCCTGTGTCATGGCAGAGCATCAAACTTTGACATCACACCAAGGAAACGCCGTTATCCGAAAACTCACAAGATTCACAACATAGCATCATCAATGTCTTAAGGCTCTTCTGAGACTATTGAAGCAGGTGAGGCAAATATGTTGGCAGTAGTACATAATAGCGTAAAACTTGACACTTCCTGTTGCGAGCAGGTGGCGCTATGACTGTGGGTGAATGTCGGTCAGGGCGGGACTCTCATCCTACATGTACAGTTTGGTGCAGATCTGAGCATACACACTGAAGTTATAACAACTTCCTGTTTCACAGTGAATCATCGATTTTGGACGCCACGCCACAGACACACCTATTGACGAAAACTCACAGATAGCACAACTTTTCATCGTCAATGCCTTTATAAGACACAGCAGAAATTTGAAGTTGATCGGACTAAACTCCTGGAGGAGTTCGTTAAAGTACGGAGTGTGTAAATCATCCAAAAATGATCGTAAAATTCAAAATGGCTGACTTCCTGTTGGGTTTAGGGCATCTCTCCAAGAGGCTTTTTGGTACGTCTGGACATGATACATGTGCCACAGAAATTTCATACATGTAGGTGAAACGTACCACGGGGGTTGCTTCGTTAATAGTAATTTCCTGTTGCCACTATGTGTTCAGGGCGTGACTCTTATAAAATGTGTAAAATTTCGTAGAGATCTGAGGATGTACAGTAAAGTTAAAACAACTTCTTGTGTCACGGCGAAGCATGACACTTCGCTGCCACGCCCCTGCCAAGCCGTAAACTGAAAAAAGTTTCCTCATCAATGTGTTAAGGGTTTCCTGGGACAGTTTTGAGGTTCATATGTCCAACCTGCTCAGAGTAGTGCATTATAGCGTAAAACGTGTCAATTCCTGTTGTGAGGGACCTCACACGTTTTGTGCTCGGGCCCTAAATATAACAAATAATTCACCTAGTCACTATACCTCGTTCCACTCATTAGAAGGGAATGTGAACCTTCACATATTAACAATTTTTATATTAACAGGATAAATAAACCTTTTATTGCAGTAGTTCTGTACTAACTGACAGAACCATTGACTGTACTCAATTTACCAACCATTTGTAACATTCCAGTCAAGACAGTGACATTTCTAGCATTTAATTGATATGGATGACCTCTAACCAACACAAAATCTTTATGAACAAAATACAAATAAAACACTTAAATGTGAAACGGAGAAAATGCCCAGGAGCTATAAACGTTAATGGTGGACATTTACATTGACCAGGGAGCAGGAGTGCTAGCTAACATCAGGGCTTAATGCAAGCCAATTTTCTGTGCCTAAAATGTGTTTGGGGGATGAAAGGTAAGGTGCAAGAGCGTAACTTTGTGTTGAAAACTGATGGGGTTCAGACTGTCTTAGATTAGGGGTGTGACGATAAACTTAGCTCACGAGACATAAGGAATTACAATTTCAATTCAATTTTTAATTTCAGTTTTATTTATATAGCACCAAATCACAACAACAGTTATCTCACAGCGCTTTTCATAAAAGAGCAGGTCTAGACCGTACTCTATGATGCTATGTACAGAAGCCCAATAATTCCCACCGAGAGCAATCACTAGGCGACAGAGGCAAGGAAAAACTTCCTTTTAAGAGGCAGAAACCTCAAGCAGAACCATGGCTCAGGGTGGGCGGCCATCTGCCATCTGGGGGTGAGAGAGGGAGAGAGAGAGAGGAACTTGTTTAATGAAATGTATGGGGTTGATTGTTCTTATGTTGTATGTATGATTTTCAATTTCAATTCAATTCATCAATATTGCCAAAGCATCATGTTGTTACACATTCATGCCAATAAAGCTAATTTGAATTGAATTGAATTGAGAGGGCAAGAGAGGAACAGAGAGAGAGGGATGGAAGGAGAGAGAGGGGAGGGAGGCAGCCTACACAATACACACACAGAGGTACAGACAGTAAAGGTGATGTTGCTATAGACTAAATGAAAAATGGTACAGATATTTATAGTAGTGTTAATGATAACCATCGTAATGTTAATGATTATAATAACAATAATAACAATAGGACTAGTAACAATAGTCGTTGCAGCAGAGGGTGTCGAGCAGGAACACGGGGGCAGCAGGTGACCCGCAACCACAGATCCAGACTCCACAGCTCCAGAGCCAGAAAACCTGCAGGAAGTGATAGGAGAGAGGAGAGAGACGAGAAAGCACAAGACTGGGGCGGCTGTGGTTCAGGAGGTAGAGCGGGTTGGCCGTTAATCCCTGGCTCCCCCTGGTTGTGTGTCGAAGTGCCCTTGGGCAAGATACTGAACCCCGATTTGCCCCTGGCGGCTATTCCGCCAGTGTATGAATGTGTGTGAATGTTCGTTTCTGTTTGACCACTTAGGCTCAGTGTATGAATGTGTGTGACTGGTGAATGCAGATGTAGTGTAAAAGCGCTTTGAGTGGTCGAAAAGCACATTATATTTACATTTGACTACCAGAAAGGGGAGAAGTTATGTTAGTAACATGCAATAATGGCATCCCATTACAGAGGGAGAGAAAGTAGAGGAGAGAGTGCATCATGGGAAATCCCCCGGCAGTCTAGGCCTATAGCAGCATAACTAAGGGATGGTTCAGGACTCACCTGAGCCAGCCCTAACTATAAGCTTTATCAAAGAGGAAAGTCTTAAGCCTACTCTTAAATGTGGAGATGGTGTCTGCCTCCTGAACCCAAACTGGAACCTGGTTCCACAGGAGAGGAGCTTGATAGCTGAACGCTCTGGCTCCTAGTCTACTTTTGGAGACTCTAGGAACTACAAACCCTGCATTCTGGGAGCGCAGTGCTCTGGTGGGGTAGTAAGGTACTATGAGTTCTTCAAGATAAGATGGTGCCTGACCATTAAGAGCTTTGTAGGTGAGAAGAATGATTTTAAATTCTATTCTGGATTTTACAGGAAGCCAATGCAAAGAAGCTAAAACAGGAGAAATGTGATCTCTTTTCCTGGTTCCTGTCAGAACACGTGCTGCAGCATTCTGGATCAGCTGAAGAGTCTTAATGGACTTTTTCGAGCAGCCTGATAATAAAGAATTGCAGTAATCCAGCCTAGAAGTAACAAATGCATGGACTAGTTTTTCTGCATCATTTTTAGACAGGATGTTCCTGATTTTCGCAATATTACGTAGGTGAAAAAAGGCGGTCCTTGAAATTTGCTTAATGTGAGACTTAAACGACATGTCCTGATCAAAGATAACTCCAAGATTCCTCACAGTGGTGCTGGAGGCCAGGGCGATGCCATCAAGGGAAACTATATCTTTAGATAATGCGTCACGGAGGTGCTTAGGCCCCAGAACAATAACTTCAATTTTATCTGAGTTTAACATTAGAAAATTACAGGTCATCCAGATTTTAGCATCCAAAAACAACTTTAACACAAGAGATAATGATTCACTATGGTTATTTATTGGTTTTGTGGTTTTGTGCAACTTACTAACCTGTGAAACAAGAGAAATGATAAACATAAACTGCCGTTAGTCTTGACGGTCTAGCCAGAATGGCAAGATTAGGGCAGCTATGTCATCAAAACAGTCTCCAACCGGCAGCAGGCAAGTGCTCTGCTGCCCACTACTGTCTGTGCTTTTGTATTACAAATATGTATACCACTACAGAGGACTTTGTCGACTCACCATTAAATTTACATACACAGTGCTACAAAAAAAAGATAACGTTAAATTAAACCAAAAACTGTGACCATACATTTTTTGTCACACACCACTGAACAAGGAATCTGAACCATCTCTCATAATGCATGTGTATGCAGTATCTCTAACGAAAGTGAGCACACCCCTCACATTGTTGTAAATATTTGATTCTATCTTTTCATGTGACAACACTGAAGAAATGACACTTTGCTACAATGTAAAAGTAGTGAGTGTCAGTGCTCAGACCATACACTGCATCAAATGGGTCTGCATGGCTGTCGTCCCAGAAGGAAGCGTCTTCTAAAGATGATGCACAAGACAGCCCGCAAACAGTTTGCTGAAGACAAGCAGACTAAGTACATGGATTACTGGAACCATGTCCTGTGGTCTGATGAGACCAAGATAAACTTATTTGGTTCAGATGGTGTCAAGCGTGTGTGGCGGCAACCAGGTGAGGAGTATAAAGACAAGTGTGTCTTACCTGTGCTGAAGAACCAGTTTCTCAAAGCACTTCATCAGAATGGGGGTGAGAGAAACAGGGCGGTAGTTGTTCAGACTAGACACTGCAGACCTTTTAGGTACAGGAAAGATGGTGGCTGCCTTGAAGCAGGTGGGAACCCTCTCCTGAGGCAGTGAGATGTTGACAATGTCAGTAATAACATCAACTAGCTGATTGGCTCAGATTTTTAGTACACGGCCAGGAATGTTATCAGACTAGATGGGATATTAACCATACTCAACTACAGCGACTGGACCTTCTATAACGATTTGAAATTATGTCCACTGAAACTGGGGGAATACTTGTATGTGTTGGCAATATGAACATTACATTATCCACATTGGGTACTTCTAGTTAAGACCTATCCCAATAAATATCCTATGGAAGAACTTATTATTGACATCTGGAGAGAACTCCACCTAACCAGCAGGGACACATTTCTCCGCACCCCATAACACCTATTCTATGATTGACTACTTTTTTACTCTTAGTGAAGACACAGAATTTAAGAATGTGAAATCAGGACAATTGACATATCAGACCACTCCCCCATAACATTGTAAGCATTAATAACACAAAAAACAGGGACAAGTTGCTGGAGACAATGCGGCACCAACGAGGCAAACCACTCTCATATATTCTGGGAATGAAAGTACTACCCTTCTGGCATGAAGTTCATAATCGTATAGAGGCCATTTTAAAAATGACCCCCCCTTTCCATATATCATTTTAGTACCTAGGCCTCGAAGCACCTAACCTTTTGACTCCTGCAGATAAGTATTTGTACTTATAGCAAGTAAGAAACTCAATACATAAAATATATGTAATGGAATGACTTTCAGTTTAAGACTACAAAAAATCTAAATTTAAGGACTTCTGGTGTAAATGGATTAACTATATCACCCCTCCAAGAGCTGACCTGACCTGAGTTAGAGTGTGTGTGTGTGGTGGGAGGGATAAAAGAAAGGGGGCTCTAAATATCGACCGGATAAAGAGTTAAGGGGGAAGATAGCAAGTAAACAAATCTAATACCCACTTGTCTTATGTATATAGTTTTGTTTGCTTGTTTTTTTGCCTTTCTCAGTTTTTACTTCCTATTTTAGTGAGGAGGTATGAAAAACCTGGATGGGAGGTACAGTTCAGCTCCTTGAATCAGAACCATTTTTTTTTTGTTTGTTTGTTTTTTCAATTTACTTCCCTGCCATACCCAATAATTAGAATAGCGGTCCAAGGGACAGATTATCTCTAGTGAAATTTAATTCATCCTATATATTTTATCCATATTTCACTGATGTGTGGCATTGGTATATCTATGTTGTCCCTTGGGTGTTTTATTCATTATTATGGTGTAGTTTTAATTACTACTACTAGCAAAAGTATGTGTATGTTGGAGAGTGTACAACAATTATAAGTATATATGGGTTTTATGCACATACGAATATATAAAATATATACAAAACTGTGTGTCTATATATATTTACATGTGTATATTTATTTGTATACACATATATATACATACCTATATCTCAATAATTTCTTATTCATCTCATCAACTCATTTTAGTACCCTTTTCCTTTTAATGTAAGGTTTGTTCTCACTAGCTGTGAGGCAGACTACCCCCAATGTTTGTTGAAAACAGAAAATCCACCTTCCTCATGTACCTGTATAGCACATCCCCCTCATGTACATCACATGTACATAATAATTTACTCCTGCATCCTGTGATGGAAAGTTGATATTTTACTGTATTTACTGTTTCACCCTGCATGCTTCATCGCAATAGACCAGTGTTTCACTGTGTGGCATTTGATTATTTTATCATGTTACAGCTAGGTGAAGTTTCCCATGGGAAAGATGCTCGTTAGAGAGTTTTCTTATCAGACTGTCCTTGATAGGCCTTCATCTCAGGACAGCTGGTCCCTACTCCCTTCGTCCCTTAGATAGCTGCGTAATACCCTTACAGTATAAAGTCACCTGCTTCTTCACTGGCTCTTTGTCTTACACTCTGCAGACTGTTTTGCACTCTGTATGTTTGTCTGACCCTTTGCAAAGAATAAAACCCTTAAAAGACGTCTGGATTGGACTCTTTATTTCAGAAGACTCACTAAAGGACAAATTTCCATTACAATCCTTATCACTCTGCTCGTTGCACTATTGTCTCAATCTGTCTGTTTTGTTTAGTGTGTATATACGTGTTCTCTACACTGTAGCCTGTCTGATTTTATTACTGTCTTATTGTATTGTATAAGTAAGCACATCGTGAGCATTTTACAATCCAGAGTCAAATTCCTCTTATGTGTACACATACCTGGCTGATTCGGAAAAATGGAAAAATAAAAATTATAAAAAAATAATTGTTTATATTTTCAAATTATTTACATAGAGAAGGTGAATAAAACTACCTATAGCTCTATTATACCTGCTAGCTGGAAAGGCAAACCCTCCAACAAAGAATGACTGGACTGCAGTTGTCAATAAAATGACTATAAAACCAAGGTCAGAAAACCACTTTAGGTGCTAAAAATCAAACATTTATTCTGACTTCTTGACATTTGATTTGACATATGAACTGTATGAACCCTAACAAAAAATGGCAGAAAGGAAAGTCAACAGAGCAGTACAGGATGAGTAGTGGGCGGTGAAGTCATGACCCGCTCTACTCTGCCTCTGATTTGCTAGTACTCGTTGCTTTCGTTGGTTGGGTTGGTTAGGTTTAGGCAAGAGGAGTGAGACTGATTAAGGTAATTAGAATATCAGGGTAAGCATATCAGACTAGGGCGGGTCATGCCTCCGCCACCCTAGGAAACATAATATGGAATACAGGAAAGTTCAATCAGAACATAAACAGGTCTGAGGATGTTAACACTTCCAAGTCAGTCCTTGGAACTGTGAAAACCTCCAGGCAGGTTTTCCCAGTGCACCATTAGAGACAGCGAGAGATTTAGAGGGAAGGATGTGATCCAGACTGGTGATTCTGCTGTGGATCTTGCTCTGGGTGGTCCCGTTTATGTCACCTCCACCACCTGCCTCAGCTCCTCTATAAGGGGGGCCAGCTCCTTCTCCAGACTCATGATGAGACCTGAGGACACACAGCGTAGTGTAGTTAGAATTATTAGAATTAGAAAGCCTTTATTGTCATTGTACAAAAATAGACAATGAAATTAGGAGTGCTGCTCCTTATCAGTGCAAACAACAGAGGGAAAAAAACGATTTGGGGAAAATATTTAAATGCGATTTTTCTGCCACATATATTCGACAACAATTCAATTTACTTAGATAAGCTACTTCAAGCAGCACCGAGTAGATAAACCAGGCAAGAAGTCAGACACAGCACGGCATAGAGAATCCGGTCGATTTCATAATAAACCCCCCTGTGCAGACTCCCAATCGTAAATCAACAATAAACACAGTTAAAACAAAAAAGAAACAATTGAACTACATAGCCTACTTAACCATGGTATAAGCACAAAAAATAAGGACAACTAAAGAAATCAGCAAAATCAGAAAGGCTAAACGCTCTTATTCTGAAATGCTCCATGTAGCTGTGCAGAGAGAGGAACAAAACCGGTTCACAGAGATCTGTTATCCGTAGATGAAGCACACAAAATGACAAATTAAAAACTAGTCTACGCATCTTATCCACTGCCCCATCACCACCCTTAATTAATCGTTCAGCCCTAGTTAAAATAAACACAAACAAAGGGCACAAAAGATGTTCATACTTCTCATGTTCATGTTGGCCAACATTTCTAAAAATCTTAAGTCTTAAGTAATATTCTAATTTTCAGAGATACTGAATTTGGGATTTTCATTAGTTGTCAGTTTTCATCACAATTAAATGAAATAAACATTTGAAATATATCAGTCTGTGTGTAATGAATGAATATAATATCCAAGTTTCACTTTTTGAATGGAATGATATTCTAATTATATGACCAGCACCTGTATTTATTTATTTGGGCCGCCTCTTGTCGACCACTGCTGTAGTTGAAAACAATGCGAGACACATTTTGAACAAAAAGCACGGGGAGGGGTCACATTGGCCCCTGTGAACGGGCAATGTAAATGTAAATGCTCCGTACTTGTATAGCGCCTTTCTAGTCTTTCAACCACTCAAAGCGCTTTTACACTACATCTGCATTAACCAGTCATACACATTCATAGACTGAGCCTAAGTGCTCAAACAGAAACACACATTCATACATAATTCAGGGTTCAGTGTCTTGCCCAAGGACACTTCGACATCCAGCCTGGAGGAGCTGGGGATTGAACCGCTGACCTTCCCTCCTGAGCCACAGTTGCCTATGCACTAGTTATTTTAAACTAGCTCCACCTTTTCAGTGCTGGTACTGTCTTTGTACATACCAGCGCTGGTCTTTCTGACAATACATGGGAACCTACAGGCCCCATCTTATTTTTAGTGATTCTAGTAAATACTTTGACACAACAGCCAGTCCAAGTTGATTCATTCCTAGGGATGGGGTATACATTTTAGTTAATCTGATCCAGTTGAGAGTCTGCTTATTGAATCCAGTTCCCGTGAAACTGTTGCGGTTGTGCTCACCTCACGCACAAGCCCGCCGCAAAGTTGAATTGTCTTGAACTTTTTGTACGTGATGCGCAGCACATATCGTAGCCAGTCTAACGTTAGCTAGGTCGGCTAACACCAACATGGCCACAACAACGTCAGCTCAGACTGTTCTCACCCAACAGACAAGGGTCCTCTCCTCCAGGATCTTCTGAGTGATCATAAGTTTGATTTTCTGTGTTTAACTGAAACATGGCAACGACCTAATGACTTTTCACAGCTGAATGAATCTACTCCCCCTGGGTTTGTTTACATCTGTCAACCCCATGACTCAGGCAGAGGGGGAGGAAGTGGAAAATCTCCCCCGTTTCTGTACCTTCTCACGGTTCATTTGAATCCATCGCCCTACAACTGAACGGCCCTATTCCAACTAAAGTGGCAACTATCTATCGTCCCCCCAAGCCCAATTTATAAATTAATTTGCTGCTTTTTTCACATTTATCTGCTCACTCTCCCCTAATGTAATACTGCTGGGGGACTTTAATATACATATGGACAATACCTCTAATCCATACACAAGGGAATTTACATCTTGCCTGGACAGTTTTGGATTGGAGTAACATATTCACTTTACCACTCACTCCAAAGGTCATGTTTTGCACTGGTTTGCTGCTCTGGTGTCACTCCTCAGGGATGCACTGCAGCCAACCTTCCCATTTCTGATCACATGTTAATTTCATAAACTTCAACTGGTTCAGAACTCTGCTGCCCGTATCATCACCAGAACCCCTTCTATTAATCATATTACTCCTGTCCTTCAGCAGCTTCATTGGCTTCCAGTTAAATACCGCATTGATTTCAAAACTCTGCTCCTGACCTTCAAGGCCATTCATAACCTCGCTCCTCGGTACCTCACTCCTACCTATTAAAAGACCCACCCATACACCAGTCTTCTTCTTCTATTCACCTCACTGTACCTCCTACTTGTTTGATCACCATGGGGTCGAGAGCCTTGAGCCGCTCTGGCCCTCGTCTCTGGAACTCTCTTCCACCAGACATCCGCAACATTGACTCACTTTCCATTTTTAAATCCCGCCTGAAAACACTGGCATATCCCCCGTGATCACTCTCTCAATCTTTGTTTCCAGTTGCTTTGTACCCTGATTTTATGCACAGTAATTATAGTTATTAATTTTATCGATTATTGCTGGACTGTTTTATTATGTTTTGCGAGGTGACCTTGAGTGTTCAGAAAGGCACCTATAAATAAAATAAATTATTATTATTATTATTATTATTATTATTATTATTATTATATAATAAACAGTACTATAAATACTGTGTCACAGCGAAATGTGGAACTTTGCCACCACGCCGCCGCAGTGTTTCCCCTATATGCTTTCAGGAGTGGCGGTACACCGCTGCTGTATCATGACCGCCGCTACATTAACTTCCCATGATCATTAAACTATGTGCTACAAATGTTTTCACTCGCACATTGTGCGAGCACGGCAACACACAATGCTTGGCTAGCTTCCCCTCCATCGTTCTATACAGAACATCTACATAACAGATGTTGTTATTAGAGCAGCGTAACTCCTGTAAGGAATCGGGAGGTGCGTAGCGAGTGTTTGATTGTCCGAGTGGCAGAAAGTGCCGGTGAACGCAAGTGGAGGAAAATATTCTGGCAGTAAATGTAGCCTACTGTGTCAGATACAGTGTATCTGGCTCTCAAGACCAAGAAAAGTTTGGAAAAGTGAAGCCTGTTAGCCCTCACAAACATCTCTCCTCCCCTTCAGACTGCGCAGCTGAGCAGGGAATCTTAATCAGTAGCCTAGGCTTCGTCTATTGGCCGCTATGTAACTGAACGTTACTTCAATTTATAGAAATTAACTGGTAGCTGTATTTTATTAGTGCCTACTTGTCCAATGTTGCTCTGTTATGACTTGGCGCTATATGAATAAACTGCATTGAAAGTTAAGGCGGTACACCATGGTCAGGAAGGCTTGGTTACAACTGCTGCAGAGTTAGCATGTGTGTAACTGTCAGGTTTTTGCCAAAAAGAAGTAAAAGAAACTATCTAAAAGAGAATGTGAGTGACAGATTTAATAAGGGATTTGTTGGCCACAGAGCTTAATCAATAGGAGTTATACCAACTTGGAACCAGATCCAAAATGGAACCAGCTATCGGAATCCATTCCTACTAATTTATAATACATATCTGCTTCATTATCTTTAGTATGTGTGACTGAAACGTGAAAAGTGGAGTGAGTCCAGTCACTGACTTAAAGATGTTAGTAAAAGTAAAGAAGTAAAAGATGTTACCTGTGTTGGCGTTGCTGCTGGCAATGAAACTGATGACCAGTGGTAACCGGTTGAACTGCACAATCTGTTCAGCAAAGAGACACAAGAGACACGTGAGGCCAAAGGCAGACTTTATGAAAGCAGATCACTATTAATATATCTAAAATCTGAAACATAGTCAGTGTTTAGCCTCAGGACACCTCACAGCGTCAAACAGCTGACTGATCTTGCTGATCATCGATGCAAATTCTTTGCATCAATGCTTCGTTTAATCCATATAACTATTTGCACGGACATTTATTACTGTCACACATCACGCTTACGCTGTGAACACAACGTGATTATAATGGAGCTGTCTGAAAAGTGGAGGAAGAAAGAAAACAGCGTCCACACACAAAAGTGTCCACAGTATGGGATTATAAGCTAAAGCTAAAGAAAACAACTCTAATGTCACAATCCATCCACCGTAAAACGAAACTTATGTCGCCATGGCAACAGCATGATGGCGCCTTATCAGAAAGCAGCCGGTGTTCTGCCAGCGGACCACAGACAAGGCAACAGTATCAGCAACTTCAGCATTTAACTGAAATCATGATTGAATGTTGAGTTGAAGCCAAAGTAAGCCGCAGTTCTCAGCTGAAAATGTACACGTGCATTTGTTGTTCTCCTTTTTGTCCCCTGAGTTGTAACCTCACAGTCAGGAGTTAACAGGGTGTTGGGGAGCTGCACCTTTTAACTCCCCTCCAGCTCTATCTGTAGCTCAGATAATCCCTGCTACCTGCGTGTGCTAATCCATTCTTTCACCCAGATTCTTTATAATAACAAACAACAGCTGTTTCGTGTGCAGGTTCGCATCATTTCCCGTGTGTTTTCCTGACCAAACGTGGTTTGGAGACCAGCGTCGGGTGACAGAGTCCTTGTCAGCTCCTGTAGTGTGTGACCCCCTGTCACCGATCAGTCACATAGTGTGAACACCACAACGATTAGCGGCCGCTAAGCAAAAGTACTTCTTAAAGTACTTGTTTTGAAGCTTCGAATATTAAAATCATTGTTAGCTGCAGCCCTAGTGTAATCAATCATAATACATCAGGTGCATGATGGAGCGGACAGAAACTGACCTGAAAGGGCCAAAACTACATCAATTGTCAAGACAAATCGATCATTACTAGAGAGCTGGCGTCTGACCTGGTAGGTGTTGTAGTAGCAGATGATGCTCTTGTTCTTAGAGAGGCCCAGCTTGCTGCCCTGATCTGTGGCCAGAGCAAAAGTGGACAAGAAGCCAGGTCTCAGTGCGTGGACTGGGGCGTTGTCATTGGCAACTGCAGGGACACAGAAGCAATGTTAACAAAAACTCAAATAGTAAACTAAAGGCAAAGATAAATAAAAAATACAATTTCAAGACATGGGCTGGCTGCTCCCCCTCCTCTCTGACTACACAACTAGGTTAAAATATTATCTTAAAAAATATGCATAATGCAACTTATCTGCAAAAAAACTTACCCATAACAGAGTATACTGGATCCTTTCTTTACAGTGAATATACCTGAGTACACATCGGGGGCTGTGGTTTTCCATGTGACAGGAGTGAGATCAGACTAAAGATTAAAGCTGCAGCAGGGAATTCTTCGAAAAATAACTGCTGAATCTGTCCCTGTCTCCTGACAGCAGTACACGAGACAAATCAGCAGCTTCCTCTGGCTCCTACTGCTCCTGATGCCATATGCTTGAATCCACCGCTTGAACAAAGCAACCAATAAGAGCAAGGAGCAGTCTCTACTGCAGTGTCAATCACTGCACACAGTACTCCGCCACTCAGTCAAGCTCAATACATTCAGTGCTTACCCCTCTCTCCCTCCTGACGCAGCTTCCGTCAAAAAAAGACTGGCTACCTATTCTCTGCAAAGCAGAGAGCGCTGCGGCCACGTCTGGTGGACTCACAGACATCAACTAGAATGACCACGATTAGCTCCGGCAACCGCAGCACAGCCATAACGCGCCAAACAACATGCCTCAGTGTCTTCAGGCCAATTGTCGTCTCTTCAGTGGCTATGAAATGTTTGAGCACGTAGTCCTATGGAACCATGGCATGCTTTTTATTTCCCCAAACTTATTCATTTATGTGCTTTCTTTTTACATATCCGTATGCATTTCTGCTTCATTATCAAAATAGGGGGCTGTCATTCAAGGTTTGTCATGGGGTCTACTTTTTGCCCTTCCCTAAACTGGACAATCAGTATTTTTACTTAAGTAGTTGACTTAAAAGTTAATTCTTACATGGATTTATTTTATCATTGTAATATGTTGTAAGATAGTCAAAAATTGTAACAACATTTAAGTGACTACTAGTAACAGAAACATCTTCATTTGACTGAACATTAGCTTACTAATGTTTCAAACACTGTTTATTCTCTACAATTAATGAATGCTGGCATTTATGTTAAAGAGGTGGTATTCTGCTTTTTGACTTTCCCCCTCTCCTTTACTGAGATAGTTTTAATTTATATCTATCTATATATCTATATCTATATCTATATATATATATATCTCTATATATATATCTCTATATATCTCTATATATATATCTCTATATATCTCTATATATATCTCTATATATCTCTATATCTCTATATCTCTATATCTCTATATCTATCTATATCTATCTATATCTATCTATATATATCTATCTATATCTATATATATATCTATCTCTCTATATCTATATCTATATCTCTATATCTATATCTCTATATCTATCTATATCTATATCTATATCTATATCTATATCTATATATCTATATCTATCTATATATCTATATCTATATATCTCTCTCTATCTCTCTATCTCTATATATATATCTCTATATCTCTATATATATCTCTATATCTCTATATATATCTCTATATCTCTATATATATCTCTATATCTCTATATCTATATCTATATATATCTATATCTATATCTATATCTCTATATATATATATATATATATATATATATATATATATATATAGATATAGAGATAGATATAGATAGATATATATATATATAGAGATATAGAGATATAGAGATAGAGAGATATATATAGAGATATATATATATAGATATATATATAGATATATAGATATAGATATAGATAGATATAGATATAGATATATCTATATAGATATATCTATATAGATATATCTATATAGATATATATCTATATAGATATATCTATATAGATATATATATATCTATATATCTATATCTATCTCTATCTCTATCTATCTCTATCTCTATCTATATCTCTCTCTATATATATCTCTATCTCTATCTATATCTATCTATCTATATATATCTCTATATCTATCTATCTATATCTCTATATCTATCTATCTATCTATCTATCTATCTATCTATCTATCTATCTATCTATCTATATATATCTCTTATACATCTTTTTTATGCATGTAACAAGTTTGCAAAGTGAAAAAGCCCAAGGTCCAGCCCAAAGGGAGTTACCATCTCTCACAGAAAGCACTGCTCTGAACTGCCTGAAAACAGCTCGTTTGTAGTCCAGCCTTTACCTCCATTACCGTGTTGCGTCACGTCGTAACACGCGTCATGATGCTCGCCTAGCAGCTAGTCAGACACGCCCTCAAAAACACACTGAGCTGCAGCACACACAGTGACAACATCCGCCCGCTGAACTCCAACAACGTTCACTACCCTCCAGGCAGTCAAATAACATTAAATTGTTAACCTGATGTAGAGACAGAGCTCAGTTAAAAATTTACGTATGAAAGATACATTTGTTACAGATTAATAACTTATCAGTCTGAAACTCTTGCTCCAGTCCATGTTGCTAAGCTGGTCAGGAACACGTACAGCTGAACTGAAGACGTGTTTACCTGCTATCCAGGACCCGCCCTACTCTGATTGGCTAGCAGTCCTTAACTAGGAACTGCTCATGTGCAACTCCCAACAAAGATCTTGTAGGATCACTCCATAACTAAAATGGAGCATTTCACACAGCTTGAAAATAGGTGCGGCAGCAATGTGCAGTATGACAAAAATATGGTGTTTTTTGAAAATGAAACCTAGGGCTGGGTATTGTTCAAAGATTTTCAATATCAATATGATACCTCGACTTCGATATCGGTTCCTGAAAGATACTTTTTTCGATACCAATTTTATTCTCAACAAACGGAGAACCATTGTTGTTTGTATAAAGTAACCTAATTATCACATTATTATCATTAATAGTTTATTTTAATAATTGTCCTCTGAAAAATGCTACTGCTTGTCAAAACCAAGATATTTTCAATGTAACATAGGCCTACATTGTGTTTTTGTTGTTTTTATTCCTCTCCCTTTAGTTTTTAGAATGTGATTTCATTGTTTATTAATTATATATTTTTTTATTGCATATATGTGAATTTGTGCTCTGGCAACATTGCAACCTAAACATTCATGGCAATAGGCCTGAAAGAAAGAGAGAGAAATCACTCATCTCATCTCATGGAAACAAGTTTCTGCCACAACATATCAAAGTTTCCCCCTTACTAGAGGAAGAGGTGTCCAGGCAACAACTATCACAATAGAAAGTAAACTCAGCCGCGTGTGTCTTTAATCCACTGCAGCAAAGTCGCAGACATCAGCCCAAGGATCAGTACGTGATGTCAACGTCACATGGAAGCGCTTCTGCCGTCTGCACATACAGGTCCGTGTGTGGCGGTGGCGTCACTTACTGATCCTCAGGCTCGGTGGCAGTAGGGCAATGAGACGATGACTCCACCGGCTCTGTCTTGTTGCAGCAAAGACGGAGCAACTTTCTGCTCTTAAATTTATTCCATGCACAGTCAAGGGCTTCACCAGGCTTGTCGTGTCACTGCCCTTGGCAGCGATTATTTTACGTTGCAAATATTGCATCACGCGCTGTTGCATCAAGCCACACTTTTGGTTTTCTCCACGTCTTTTACATCCACAAGCCACATCTCTGTGCGTAACCGGCATGAAGTAGTGTTTAAATCACCACAGCCACTTACAATCACTTAGATGTGGGCACATCAAGAATGCTGCATAATTATTGGCTCATTGGTGTTAACAAGAACATTTAGGTATCGAACTTTGGTACCGAAAGACAAGGCATTTTTTGATACTCGATGGTATTGAGGCAATTCAGTCAGTGCCTAAAAAGTATTGAACTTGCTACCCAGCCCTAATGAAACCATGTAAACCTGTTCTGGTACAACTCCTAAATAACTATGAACCTAAAAATAAGCATAATATGAGCACTGTAATATTAGTCTTGGTGCATTTATTGGCATATTAATAGATTTATTAATTTAGTTTAGATTTTGGCAGTTTTGGTCCTCCATATTTTATGCTAGAAATTAGACAACAAAAAATCTCCACTCTAACACATGATAAATGTCATGTTAGATTGATTTAAGTGACAGATTAGTCCAGTATTATTACAGATTGTGTGTCTGAAAGGACTTAGGAGTAAAAGAACATTTCAAATCACAGTGTCGTCCATGTTCTACAGGCTGGGGCTGCTGGCACCTTAGCCTCTGTGGTCTGGGTATGAACCGGGTGAATGTGATATGTAGTGAAAAGTGTTTTAATTTGTCAGAAGACTAGAAAGGTGATATGCAAGTACAGCACATTTATCAAAACTCCAAAAAGCAGGGCTTTTACAAATTCTCTGCTTTCTCTGGAGTTCAGTGTGGCTGCCCTTTGCTGTGGGGTTGTACAGGAAATGCATACAGCCATAATGTGACAGACGAGAAGAAGTTTCTTACCTTTAATAACTGGGACTCCATCCCTGTCTGTCACTACAATAGCATGAAGGCCTTCAACGCTGGAGAACAGAAAGTAACGTAAATTTTATGACTCAACACACTGACAGTTTGACTGAAACATCGTGCTACATCAGTCATACGCACCTCTGCAACTGTTTGTACAAGTATCTCTTAAAATCCTGCACAGATATATATGTAAAAAAAAACCAAACAAGTCAGACAAGCTTCAACATGAGTGTCACAAAATATACATTTCATTATCCTCCGTGCTACCGAGGACAGGGACTCTGGTACTCACGTCAGCCATGGCAGCCAGTGTTAGCGTGTTATCCGAGCTGTGGGAGACAACAGGCTCCATTAACCTCCTCATGATGAAGACTAACGTTAACGTTACTTCACTTCACTGTTGACACAACTGCTAACGTTAACACTAAAGTGAATGAAAGGAACGATATGCTGACCTGTTAGCTAGTTAGCAAGATAACCTAACTGCTGACATTATTCTAGCCTAACGCTAACAGTTACATACTATAATAAATCAACTACCAGCAGTTCTGTCAGGTGTTTAGGTGACTTTAAAGTCACAGATAAAACAAGAATGCTAATTAAAACAGTAAACGCTTTCACTGACCTTCTTTGACTCCGTTTAATTAGCTGTCCAGCTCATACACGTACATAGGCGCGAGCACAAATCACATGACACGTTTGTTTTCTTTCCGGCTCTCGGAAAAGTGTTGAGGAGTGTCAATGTTGCGCAACATTGCTGCACACTGCCGCAGCATTCAGCACAGTTCCATCCGCTGCTGCTAGTGCCTGTCAGGGGCCAGATCCGTACCGCCAGCAAGAGCCGTTCTTCACATTCTTAAAAGGGCTAATGCCTTAAAAGCTGTTTCTATTTTTTCTGAAGCTTCAGGGTTGTACTTAAATTTAAAGAAGTGTGAGATTGTGAGATTTTGACTATTCAGTCAAAAAGGAGGTTAAGTACTTGGGAGTAACTATCACTAAAGGCCATAATGACAGGGGAAACACTCACATTCAAGATGTTTTGCAAAAGAATCAAAGAATTTTAAATAGCTGGTTACAAAGAAATATCTCGATTTTTGGAAGAATTTTGTTAACGAAAATGGAAGCGATTTCTAGACTAGCCTGCATACTCTTTAGCAGTTCCAGACAGATGTATCAAGAAAATAAACCAAATGCATTATAATTTTATTTGGAATAATAAGCAGCATTGGATTAGAAAAAGTGACATGGTTAAACCAGTGGAAGAAGGCGGAATGGATGTGATTGATTTTTAAGTAATGAATGGAGTTATTAAATTTAAATGGTTGCAAATGTTTATAAAACAGGAACACTATTTATGGTTTAGTTTTCCAGCTTATCTTTTTCAAAGGGTAGGAGGAATTGGTGTTCTGTTAAAATGTGATTTTGACCCATCAAAGTTGCCACTTAAGTTATCAGATTATCATATGCAGGTATTACTGTATTGGAAAATGATGTATAAGCAATTTTTCCCCTCATAAGGCTACAATATGGAACAACAGGTACATCTTACATAAGAGGAAAACACTATTATATAGACTGGATGGAAAAAGGAGTATGGACTATAATACATCTAAAGGATGAATGTGGGAATATGTTAAGTCATGATGAATTTAAAACAAAATTTAATTTGGATTGCTCAATTAGACAGTATTCCTTAGTAGTCAATGCCATTCCTAAGTCTTTGATAAACCAGATAAAAGGAATGTTACAATACTCTGCTGTGATACCTACATCTGCTAATCTCTTTGTGGATAAGTATAATTTCTTAGATAGTAAATGTGATAACAAATCTTCCTGTGAAAAGAAAAGTTTTGTCTGAAAGACTTTCAAGGTTCGAACTAGATTTTTATAATTTCCATTGTTTCCTAAAATGAAAGAGGTTCATTTCAAAACAATTAATGACATTTATCCATGTAATGAGTTCTTAAGAGTAAGATTTAATTTAGATTGTAATGTTTGTACGTTTTGTCAGACTGATACTGAATCTCAGGAACATCTTTTCTATGGCTGTAATGTTGTTAAGTTGTTGTGGAACAGAATATTTGATTGGTTAGGTACAAAGAATGTAATACTTGTTTTTGATTACCATAAGGTGAAGTTTGGTTGTTTTATGGAAAACAAAGATATTGAGTTCTTGTGTAATAATATCTTCATCATAGCAAAATGTTATAATCACAAGTGTAGATTTTTAAAAGCTACACCAAGTTTTAATGCATTCATTAATGATTTGAAGAATTTTTTCGGTCATTGAAAAAGCTGGGAAAGAATAGTGCCTTAAAATACTTATCCAATGAAGGTTAAAATCAAGGGCAACTGGACTTGGTTGAAGTCCAGCTGCTTAGCTGTACAATGGAAGGTCTATGCAATGTTACAACGATGCCTGTTTGTTTATTGAAAATGCAAATAAAGTGACTGGAAAAAAAAAAATCTTAAAAGGGGTCCTGTCTGTCTAAGAAGGTTACCGCAAATGTGCCTGTTCATAATTATTCGCGTGTTGTTGTCTGTTCTCTAGTGATGTGCGATACCACTTAATTCCTATATGAGAGAGAGGCGCGTCATCTCTGTTCACTGCAACAGACTTTTTATTTTTATTTTTTTACAGCAATGGCGGATCACGGAACGTTATGCCAGTTCATCCAAACTTGTAGAATTTGAATAACATACTTCAAAACGTTTTTTTTTGGGGGGGTGGGTTGGGGTGGTAATTCATTTTATTTAAATATACTAGTGAATTTTATTTTAGTTAATTATATTAGTGGGGCTTGTATGAATATCCATTTTGTAGAGCACGGGACCAAAGAGAGACTGAAACAGGCAAGGTTAAAAGGAAAGGTAGGTTTCAGTTTTGAGAAATAAATGGAGATTTACCTCTAACACTAAAAGTAGTATACTAACTAACAAACATTACAAAAGCAATATTCATAGTAAACACGTATTCTATTAGTGTGTGTTCCGCATGGTGGAGGAGCAGTGATGAGTGCTGTGTGAACCATGGTGAGAAAGAAAACAACACATGCCTATTATAATATACCATTATAAGGAATCATACTTCTTTCAGTATCTGCATCTCTTCTTTTTTTACTCTCACTTTCCCTTCTCTTAGTCTCTATCCCTTATTGAAACTGATGCAAGTAGAAGACATGGCACTGTTAATGTTATATGTATTCAAAATAATATTTTACCACTCCAAAATAAGAAATAATACTGTTTAAGAGTTGATACTTATTATACCTGTCACACTTTTAAAAGTATAGCTCCGATCAGCAGCGAGGACTTTAATATTTACAGGTTTGGGGACGATGCACACAGATGGTGAGAATAGCATCTGCTTTCAGTCTAGTCTTTTCCTTTTTGGGACAAACAAACTGGTCTGCCTCAAAATGTCCCTGCGGAGTGACTTGAGCTTCATTTTTACACAACAATTGATTACAATTAATACATTATAGTGGCCGAATGCACCATATTGGTGAATACTCAATACTCAGAAATGTTTACACTAATTACATAATTACTTTGTACAAATTCATATCACATCATCATCAAAGTTCCTGTGTGGGAGAACTGAAAAAATAAAAACATTCACTAACTAACAAACTATCTAGTAGTTATGAAAGGGTATGAAAATTTCATATCACGATTATAGTGACCAAAATTATCACGGTTATCTGTATTATCACAGTATTGTAAAAATGTGACAAAAAAGATTAAAATGTACTGGTACACACACTGAAACCATTTCAACAAGTTTTATATTGAAAACTACAAATACATTTACCATTTTGTTTGCATAAAAAATAAAATAACAGCAAATACCTTTTGCAAACATCATCTAAGTGTACATTATCAAGATTTTAGATTTTATATTATATAGGTAATACAATGACCCCGTGGACAATTACATGAAAACAAATAATTCAGAAGACAGTGATAGTGACTGCAACGAGCCCAACAACTGACATAAATACGGAGCAGTCTGTAGCTTCTGGATATGCTGGTTGGTTGACTAAACAGCGTAACGTGTTCTCATGTGCAGTGGACGAACAGACTCTGCCGACACATGATGCACACAGCAGCAGAACAACGTGTAGCGTTTTTACAAGAGCAGCAACACTGAGAGCTTCAGTTTACACGCTGTTAGCAAGTCAGAGAGACAAACCAAAGCTAAAAGTTAACTCACCCTGCATTCACTATAAGGTCATTTTCTTCAGTCAAGTTTCCCTCAGCACTCTCATAAAAACTCAAATACGACCGATCCTCAGAGTGACTGAAAAATCTCCGCCGTGTTGTCATTGACCCATAGAAACCCACGTTGCATCCTGCGCATGCGCGCCTGCTTCTGGGAGACGCTGGACAGTGTTTGCGGTGAGATTATAACAGCGCGGGTAACCCTACCCGTTATCATGGTAATTAAAATGTGTATGGTAATAATAACCGTGGGAATTATACCATGGTTTACCTTTAAACCGGTAATGATTTCATCCCTACTATCTAGTAACTGATGCCAACATCAGCTGCACAAGCTGTTAATAAAGTTCCAAAATTTAACAATCCATGACCTTCTCATTTAAACCTGTTTACAAGAAAGGTTGAATCGAGAGCAGCTGGACGTCTTCTGAAACGTAATCTATAACCAGTCCAGTTGCTCCCAATTCAACTTTTCTTGGATAAGCCTGACCTGGCTGAAACTTAACAGATGTGTAGGTTTGTCTAAACATCTCTCTCTCTTGTTCTCCCTCTCTCAGCACAAGAATCACAGGGGGTTCAGTGGAGCCTGAAGATGATCTGCAGTGATGTTTTTAATAAACCAAACATTAAGCCAGTGATGTGTCCTTTCTTTGTGGAAAAAGTACCTTTTTAGTGATTGTAAGGTTACTGTTAACCTGAGGCAACCATTCTTTCCTCCTCTTCATGTCAGCTGGGAAACCGTGCATTTCACTTTTTCTGACTGACTGCAGCAGCATTTCCACACAGGTACAATATACCATGCTGTAGACTATTGTAAGACAGTCACAGGCACAAACCACTTAACATGCTGATTTCTGAGTTTACTGGAGATTTATTAAATGAATACACCTTATGTTGTCTTCCCATCGACCATGCACTTTTTGTCCAAAGGAAAACAAAGGAGGAGGGTAGAATTATTACTCAAACTGTCTGTTGTAAACATCCTGAACAGTTAACAGACCCACTTCCTGGTTCAGTCTACCCTAGTTTTGCACATACAATGTGCAATGATGCTTATTACCGACATTTTGGGTGCACTCATTTTTAGTCCATCCATCCATCCATCCATCCATCCATCCATCGTCAACCGCTTTTCCTGTGTACAGGGTCGCGGGGGGGCTGGAGCCAATCCCAGCTGACTTTGGGCGCAAGGCGGGGTACACCCTGGACAGGTCGCCAGTCCATCGCAGACTCATTTTTAGTGTTATCTCCAAATAAAGTGGTTTAGGTAATATGACTAAACTATTAGCCAGTCTACGACCTGTGTGATCTTCGTGACTGCTGATGTTGTTTGGCCTGAGCACTTTTTTGTAGCAATGTTGCTGTGTTCCCAGGTCTTAGCCATTACTTTGTACAGTGTTGTCAAAACAAACATAGGTGATGGGCAAAACTACAAAGATAACACCCAAGTTGAATAATCTTTTACATATCGGTATTTATTTAGTTTTATACAACTTTGGGTTCCACTTCAGTGCTTCAAAGCCAGATATTTCACCAAAAAAGTGTATATGTGACTGCAAATTGAAGTTCACTGTAGGAACTGACATTGCACACTATTTCAGGATCTATCTCCCCTGTCCCTGTTCACGCACTGCTGGATATTGTCAACAATCAGAAACCAGGATGACTCACATTGACTGATTCCTCTGAGCATCAGAGACTGGAGACCTCCCTTCCATGTCACTAGTCTGAACACCATCTGTAGAAATTGCTCATGAGCATCTTTCAGTCACATTTGTAATATCATTTGGTTTTCATCGTTACCTCTGGCTTCAGGTGGAAAATAACCAATCTGGTTACATTTGGGTGAGAGACAGCCGGAGTTGACACATCACATTAAAGGCAGGGTAGGTAAGTTTGAGAAACTAGCAAGAAACTGCTTGATTTTGATTTTTGAAAGTATCCAAAAGAGAAACTCCCACCCTGTCCCTTCTGGGCTCTTTTCAAAGCTACGCCCCCAAAACACATGAATGCGCGTTGCCGAATCTACTGGAGGATGTGCGCAGTGTGACGAGTGGAGAGCAGCGTTTCCTATCTGGGGTTCTAACAACTGTATATTCCTTTACAGACCAGAATCTGAGGACTGTGGACAACATCCAGACAACAGTGTTTCCATGCACCACACATGGCTGATCTTCCAGACCCAGGACAGAGTAACAGACCGTTCAGTCAGGCAGCATACAGACAGTTTGTAGTGTGGCAATGTGGAGCATTTAGACAGAGTCGTGATACTGAGGTGCTGGAAGATATGCAACTGTTATCCTGATCCACACGGACAATACAGAGGTTTAATCCTAGCAGGGTGTAAGATGTAATGTCACTGACTGCTACACAAATAATTCCATCCACTGCGTGGATGAATACCTGTACATTGTTTTTGTTTTATGCCCAGGAGGGTAGAAAAAATACAAAGATATTTTTCCCTGTTCTGGATAATATTTTCATTCTTTTTTAAATAAAACATTCAAAATGATAAATACCTTTTCTTTACACTTGCAGCATAAACAAACAACAACATTTATGTCTTATGTCTCCATAATCACATCCAAATGTGGTATAACACTTGTTTATTGATATTATATACTACTAAAACTACAACCTATATCACACATAGATCATTTTAAACATCATTAAAAATAAGTATATACAGGAATCGACAAGGTGTGTCCAGAGGTTTCCTGACTGATTATGAAGACAGTTCAGACTTTGCATGTAGCATCGTATCGCTGCTGTGGAGATGATTTAATATATCACAGTCACCTCTCTGACATGATTACCACATTTCAAAACCAACCATATTACTTTTTGAGTTATATTTTGCTGTATCTAGCAACACAATTGGGGCAGGGACAACTGACTGAACCCCATGTTGACGGGGATCATCAGGTTTCCTGGTTCAGCTTCTAGGCATCTCCTCAGTAGTACACAACTGGAGGAGGAGGAGGATGGCACTATGGAGGTCTCTGATGTAACTGTAGTCCTTATCCACCTTCAATGAGTACAAGCTCCACTTCCTGGACTTTTTGTTGTATACCTTGCTGTACCTGATAATACAGAAAAGAGTTTCAGCTTCGTGAAAAGTTTGTAATACCTGACATCATTCTCTTATAGAGTAGTTAGCATTTCCACATAAAATGCAATCACAACAATAAATCAGCACCATCTATCTGTATTCCTCATACTGTTTAATATTTTTTGATTCATCACTTATAAATGTATTGAGTAAAATGCATAGGAGTACTCATAATGCAACATACTGAACTGTGTCATCAGCTTTTCTCTTGGCTGGACTGTGGACACGGTGGTTGTAATCCAGGCCAGCCAGCATGGTCCGATCAGTGTATACTGGTGAGAAGCACAGGGCTATGAAAGACTCCAAATCTGCAGGTGACCTGAGGGCACAGTAGAAATCAAACACACAGTATTTTTTACTACTGGTAAAATAAGTAATAGCACAACAGCACCAATTACAGTAAAAGGTTTTCACATATTAGGCTTAGCTACGGACAATGTCAAACAATCCTTTAGCCATCATTGTTTATGTATACTAACGTTGAATGTCTCATTACTGCGAACACACAGCTACATCACCACATTTGTAAAAGTAACATACAGTCAAACATCAACTGCAGACACAAGATAATAACACAGATTAGATACAAGGTAAAGATAACGTAAAGTTAGGTGTAAACAACAAACTCGCGCTGCTGTTTTCCAGCTCACCTACAGCTAGATATAATTCATCGTCTCTACTCTGGCTCCTACACCAGTCTCCAGCACTCGTAGCAACAGAGCAACAAAGTAGGTAGGTACCGTTAGCTCTATGCGTAGGTAGCTACGTTTGCTAGTGATGAAAGTAACAAATTACCATAAAAATGATAAAAGCCAGATTACCTGCCCAGCAGAAATAAAGCCACCAAGGTGTGTCAGCGCCTCTGTGTTCCTCAGTTGTCACTATTGTTGAAAAGCCATGCAGAAATCACCCATCGGTCTGACTGCTTCGCTCGTCAGGTCTGAGCTGACCGGGTGCGCGCATAGGGGCAGCTCCTAGTGATGTGTCCGTCCGTGTCGAGGCTTCGAAGCGTGTGTCGAGTAATACAGGATGATTTTTGCAAGTATATATCCAGCTGCAGCCTGCAGACCGTGACGGAAGTTGAACTTCCAAATATATTTTGTCCCAGAAGACACTGCGCACAAAACGTGATGATGTTCATCTCAGTTTACGTACATGATAGATCCTAATGCAAACCGTTTTATTCTTTAGAAGCCAACAACAGAACTTTAAATACACTTCTGAGAAGTTTTTAGGCGAGAAATCAACTGTGTAGATTTTGAAGATCGGCAGTTTAACGAAAAGTGCCGACCATAGTGCCGACGGGTGTTATATAGCTGCAGTAACGTTACCGGAGGCTGCACAGCAACCTATCTGCTAGCGGCCGATGTGTGCCGCTGTAGGGTTAACCGGTCGACATGCATATAATCAATAACTTGATTACCCTGGCTGGGGTAAGAGGAATATACTTCGGGGGGCTGTCAGGAATAGCTAGCTAGCTCCGGTTAGCTCCCCAAGGCCAAGTCACACAGACCACTGCAGCCAACACAGCAGACTATCCAGCAACAGCTGATAATGTTCGTACCACTGTTATTCTGTCAATAAATTCTCAGTAATGATAAGTTTTAACCTAAATTGAGACACATCTGGCTCGTGATGCAACATTACAGAATATTCTTGGTTTGTGAAACTTAAAATCACTTTGGAAGAAATAAAATATACAACAGTGGTATGAATTGAAACATTGCCTTATTATTATCATTAGGCTATTATAAATAAGTATTTGCAGGAATTATAGTATAAATATACTATATTAATAATATATAAGTATAGTATAGTAAATATTAACACATAACATACACTGATTACTACGTTGACACTCGGCTTTTTTTATTTGGGGACAACCCATATATGGAAGTTCAACTTCCGTCACGTTTGTCTGCGGGCTGCAGCTGGACCCTT